ATGTTTAGTAAGACCTTCATATGGTGTCATTATCCTCCTTCATAATTGTGTTTAATGTCTTACTTTTGGTTGCATCCTGTCAGTCCCTGTGATGAACTGAGCGTGACCTCCTCCTTCCTTGGCCATCCCATTGATGAGAGCAGAGCTGGCCCCTTCCCCAATCCCAAAAGAGAAACACCTGCAATAAAACAATTGTCTTTGAGCACACAGAGGACATGTTGGACATCCTAAAAACTGTGTAGATATAACTGTGGTTTTGTGGTTTCACCTGTGAGAACCTGAATTCTTCTTCACCAGATCGATCACTTCTTTGGTGTTCCCCACCTCTCCATCAGTAAAGACAAACAGCTAGAGAGGAGAGTTTACACATAAGGACATATCACCAGACCCACAAACACACAGCTTGTTCTGAGAGCTGAGTTAGTTTTCAGAAATAGTAACTGGGCTGCGTTTTATTAGTGCTTTTCTACTGTGCTTGAGCACTCAAATCTCTTTATGCAACATGTCTCATTCACCTATTCAAATAAAATGGGTGAATACGGGCCCTTTTTTCTATGGGTTTCTATAAAGCAGTAACATGCACATACTCACTCTACATCATGCACATTGGGATCAAGAACACATTGCCATGCAGCCAGGAATTGAACCACCAATGTTCTTATGAGCAGATTATCTGCTGCACAACCTGACAGACAGGTTGTGCAGCTTTCCTAGTGTCCCACTGTATGTGTTACCTGTCTGGGCTGATTGGGAATGCAGGGCTGGCTGTAAATATGTTTGATGGGCTCCAGGATCTCTGTTCCTCCAAGATTAGCCTCCATCTGCTCAACTTTCTTCAGAGCCTCCTCCATGGTCTGCTGGCTGTACTCCACACTCTTACTGCCATCACATAAACACATGCACCAAAACATCCATTAAGATAGCTTAGCAAAGACAGCATGGCCTTTGTTGTTGTTGTTGTTGTTGTTGAGACTCACAGGAAGATGTGTTCATATCTGGACCCAAAACTGTAAATGTTGAAATAGCAGCCAATTGGTAAACTCTTCAACAGGAGCAGCAGAGTGTCCTGAAGGGAAGAGGGAAAAGATGGTGAGGCCACTGTGTGAGAGGAACACTGTGAAAGAATATCTATCTAATATGAGTGTAAGAACAAATGATGGATACCTTGGCACTGCGGATGCGAGTATTACTCATACTTCCAGATCGATCCATTAAGAACACAAACTCTCCACATGAAGCC